AGGGCCAGGGGAGCGGGTAAGGCCAGACGTTGCCGAAGCCCGCCCCCGAAGCCCGCCCCCCACAGCCTGGGCAGCAGACCAGGACTCCCATGCAGCACTGGGTGCAAAACGAAGGGCATCAGTGAACTCCCTCCCCCCACCCCCGGCGTCTTTTCGGAGGAAGGGACAGAAAGGTGGGGACTAGCCACACATGGAAAAGGTCTAAGTGGGGAGGAATGGTGGCGGGGTGTGGTGGAGAGAAGCTGAGAGATCCATCCAGCAGAGGGTGAGAAGCAGCCAGAGACTGGCCCAGGCCTCACGCAGCTAGCAGCAGAGCTGTGGAGCCAATCTGGCCCGGGGGTCTGGCTTAGTCACCAGTTTTGACAAGGAGTTAAATGGGTTGCTTAACAGCCTCCCTGGCTCTCCATTGGCTCTCCTGATCTGGGCTGTCCAGGTGAAGGGTCTGGGGCAGGGAGGTCTGGGAGCCCAGGGGCTAAGGCACCAGCACCAGCCCGCCCCAGGCCTGCTCCAGCCCTGCAGGGCCAGAAGGAGGCGCCAGCTGTTTGCCTCCTGTCTGAGTCTTTGCCACCTGGGCTCCCAAACAGTCCCACGCTCGTCTTGCAGCCGAGGACTCCAGGCGTTAGTAGGGAAAATGCCCCAGACAAGGAATTATTAATATGTTTCTCAGCTCACGGCAGCTAAGTAGCACTCTGAACACTCCCGGCCCACTTCCCCTCCTGAATTTAGTACATGGCATCCCTACTAATAATCAGCAAGCGCGGAGTGAGCGCCTTTGGCTGTGGCCCTTGTTCAGGGCATAGTCAGGGCTGCACACCCGAGTAAGGCACAGAGGCACAGTGGCAGCAGGGCCGGGGCATCTCATGCCTCCCCCCGAATGAGGAGAGCGCTCTCTCACCAAGGAACTCCGCTGCCCCCTCAGGGTCAGAGCCCACTCATATGGGAGGGATGGATTAACCAGCCTTGACCTGAGACAGACCAAGTATAGCACAGGCTTTTTGCAACCAGTTTTTCTTGCTTATTTATTCATTCCCCTGCACATGGCCAAATGGCAAACAACAAATGCTTAACAATATTAAGAATGGGTGATGGTGATGGAGGTGAGGATAATGGAGGCAGCGATAAAAATAATGTTAGAGATAAACATATGTGTTCTGTTTTGGCCTCGAGTCTGTGGGACTTCAAGCCTTTTTTCCTCCCCACGGGTGCTTCCGGTACACTCACGAGATAATAGGGAACGGGAGTAGAAGCTTGAGAAAGTTAAGGATCGGTCACACAGACCTCTGGCTTCAAGCAGGACTTGACCAGCTCACCCAGGAAGGCCACCATGGCAGCGAGGAGGGGAGCGAGCGAAGTAGTCCGCGTCAGGATGGGCCCTTATGGCCTAAGTTAAGGACAAGTTCCCAGCCCAGGATCTCAGGGCCACATTCCCTGCTCAACATCCTACCAGGTTTAGGACCCTAAAGCTGGGAGAGGTCTCCCAGGTGGTCTCGACCAGCTTTCCCATGGCATGAGTGAGGAAACTGAGGCCCAGAGAGAAGTGACTCACTCACGGCTGCACAGCAGAGCGGGGACTCAAACTCTACTCTCCTTTCATTACAAAGCGAGAACCATGGAGAGGTGATGGTGCGCAGGGGGCGGGGTTAGATGTGGGGAAGCTGTCGGCCGGCCCACCGGCTGCTTCCACAGGTCCATGCCATCCGTCATTCCCGCCTCGGTGGCTTGACACCAGGGCGGTAACACCCAACCCACATGTGCAGGTCATTGCCAAGTCCATGTGTACAGGTTCTAGAACAAGCAAGGAGCCTTTCCTCTCTGCTCAGCTCCCTAGAAAAGAGCTAAGTGGGGAAGCAGGCAAATTCCTCATGAAGAGGAATTTCACCTTCTAATCTCCCCATCCACCTTCTAATCTCCCAAGTATTTGTTTTCTCCGGATAAACTTTCCCAGCAATATTTAAAGCCAGTTAGAGAAAAATGAAGGGATTAAATGGAAAACCTCAGGGCAGTTTTGGCCGCAGAATCATTCGCTCATTCAAGAATCTTTGACAATATCTACTCTGTGAAGATTCGGTCATGAAGGAGATGGGCCCCCCGGTCTCTGTGTACCTGCGGCCTAGTGGGTAAGACAAACAGAAGCCCTTGGGGAGCACCCAGAAGGGCAGACCGTCCATTTCATGGTGACGTGAGGGGTTGGGTGGCTTCACGAAGTAGGAGACATCAGACCCTGGGCACCCTAGAGCCACGGAAAGCCGGAGCCTGTCCTGAGTAGATGCAGTTTGATCATTTGCTTCTGTTTTTCACTTTGTCCTTGGTCCCTCCTTTCCTCCAGAGCACAGCGACTTTCTCTTCTTCATGTAAACATACCCCCTCAGCAGCCCCTAGCTCCAGCCTCTATCTTCAGACTTTCCTTTTCCATCATTTTCCCTATTTGGGACCCAAACCCTGTCCACACCCCATCAGTGAGCAGGTAGACAGGGCCCAGAGGTTGTGGGGAGAGGCCCCACCAGACTCGCCGGGCAGATGTGCTCTGCTCTCTGCACAGCCGTCCCAGCAGCCCATCTGCACTCACTTCCGGCCTCCCGGCTCCAGCCCCTCGCACCTCCCACGCAGGGGCAGGGGCAGGGGCAGGGGCTGAGAAGCCTGGTCCAAAGGCCCATGCTGAGGCTGCCGGCTGGCAGCAAGGCAAAGGCCCCTGCCCTCCCCCTTCCTCCACAAGGAATGGTGGCCTGGGTGGGACTGTGGCCAGGTGATCACCTCAGAAGTCAGCCTCAGCCTCTTGGCAGCTGTGGGGATGGCCTGGCCCTCAAGTTCTCCCAGCACCATCTGTCCATGTGAGATAAATGAACCGCATCACATGGATCTTTTGTGAAGACTAAGAAGTCTGCTTCGTGAGGTGTCTCCAAGGGAAGGAAAAAATACTTTCAAAATCAGTTTGACACAAAAAGATGTCCCTGCTTAAAGTCTGTCCTGATGCCCTTGAATCTTAGGGTCCTTGTCGGAATCTGTGCCCCCCTCCCCCGCTTTAATGCTGGGAGGTGGGAAGAATGGAAAATCACCCGAGGAGGTGACTTTTCTGGAAACCTGCACATTTCTGGGGTGCTCACAGCTCCCTCCTGGTTCCTGGGCAGGGTGCTCATACTCTGGGACCGTAGGGAAGGTGTAGGCAGCTCTGTGGCTGCCACGGCCCAACCCTCCTTAACAGCAGGAGGGCAGCAGCCGTAGCCCTGTGGCCCTCAGCCCTGGTTCTGCCTGTAGGAGGCACTCAGGAGGAGTGAGCTCAGCTGGGCTTGGAGGCTACTTACCCCTGGCCACGTGCCCGCACCAAGGCAAGCGGGGAGTCCGATTAGTCCTCTCAGCGTGCTCTCAGGTCATCCAAATTGGGGGATCAGGAAAAGGGAGACTAGCAGTGGTAGCCTGCATGATGCAGAACGGGGACAAGGAGCCCTGGAGGAGTGGGGACTCTGAGTGGGGACTAACAGAAGCCCCTACTCAGCCCAGAGCCCTTTCTTCAGTACTGTGTCCTAACGCCTCAAAAGTCCAGCAAAGGACAACACATCGTTTCCTTTTCCTGGAAACAGAAATGTCTTAGGAGTGTGGGCAAACCTCAGAATCTCCTGAACAGTGGGATTGTGGGTGGGAACTGGCTTCTCCCGGCAGGAACGAGCCCCCAGAATAAGGGCTGGTGCCCAGAACAAGAGCAGAGCTCGGCCAAACTTGCCGGGTGTGAGAGAGGCTTGCCTTCCCTGAATGCCATTTTCAAAGGAGGGGGGATTCCTGCCCCTGCTTCCTCCCACACAGCCGCGAGCTGCCCCTTCAGAGAGGACGTCAGGTGAGGGGTGGCGCTGCTCCTCCTGCAGGCTGCTGGCCCGGATTTGGGCATTTCTAAATTGCTCCCCTAAGATGAGCTGCCTCTGAGCGACCAGACAACCACAGACGTAGGCCACTGTATTTTCAGTGTTTTCCTAAGTATCTAAGGCAGAAATTCTCTTTCACAGACATAACTTGTCACCACTTTCTCACTTCACGAATGTGGCCACCGTAACTGTGACGGAGTCCCTGAGATTCACGTCCCAACCTGAAAACTCTGATTACCCGATAAGTCTGAGCCCAATGTAACAGAAAGAGAGGATGAGGTGAGTCCGATGGCTGGTGATGAGAGGAACGGGCCACAGCCGAGCGGAAGGCGGGCTGATCCGCCAGCAGCCGGCAACGAGCCCATCCTCACCCAGGGCCCTGAGACAGGCTGCACGCCTTTGTTTTAAGAATGCTCGATTTCTGCTCAGTCTATAACCTGTGACTTCAACCCAAAACTTTCTTTAACTAGCAATATGGAGAAAGAGAGAGAGCCCTCCTCCAGGGCAAGGCTCCTTCCTTCCAGCCCACCAGTGATCGAGGGCCCCTCCTTCTGCCACACATGTAAGAGAAATCACCCGGATACCTAGAGTCTCCCACTAGTTCAGCAAGGCAGGGAAGCCCTAGGATTGAGGAGATGTTCCAGAGTGTCGGACTCATGTTCTCCAAGGCAACTGGGGCTCAGAGGGAAGGGACAGGTTCATGCTGACCACCCGCAAGAGTGACACATTATCTCGGGCGCCCTCGGAGACCCCCGGGTCTCACAGGGGGCATAACAGCATCCCAAGGCTCCTGAGTTTGCTCTCCTAATCCTGAGATCTCAGTCTGGGGTGACCACCCTCACCCACCCCCAACCCTACCTAGAAGCAGGGGGCTTCACCTGGAGACCCCCGTAGCAGGGGTCCCCTGGGACAGATTCCACAAGCCCAGCGCTGAGTTCACTACAAGTTTCAGACAAAGAAGGTGTGTTGGAGCTGAGAGCCTGCTTCTGCCCGCTGCGTGGGCGGTGAGTTCAATGCCTTCTTGTCAACACTTGAATGTGTTGAACATCACTCACAAGGGCATTCTTTAAGGAACCTATTAACTTAATTACCCGGGCATTTTTTCCTCTCTCCCCCATCCGTGCATCTCACATAAAAATTTGGCTTTCGCCCGAGACTGGAGTCACATCCTGACAGTTCTCGCCCTAGTGTGTGCGAGTTCTCGGACAGGACCTGCCGGTCTTGACTCTCTGACAAGGGCACTCAGTGCCCCTGGGAGCACCCAGATCAGAGCCACACCCTGCCCCACCCCCACCCCAAAATAAATTTGGCCCTCTTCCTTTGTGAGATACTTCTGATGTAAGTCCTCTCCCCTGGCACAATATTACCTTGTTGTTTTTTTTTTTCTCTAGAGGTAGTCAGGGTGGCTGCACTGTAGACACTGATTCCTTCCCTAGGGTGGTAAGTAGCACTGAAGGAAGCTATGAAAGGGGGGCCAGGGCCGGGGCTGGGGCAGGGGAGGGGTCTCCTGGCCTCATCCTTCCCAACCACTCAGCCGGAGTGGAAAGGTGAAGGAGTGGAAAGGTGAAGGACCAAACCGAGCTCCCACAGGTTAGGCCCCTCCTCCTGGTGAGAGAGGAGTCATCGTAGATTCAGGTCAATCACAGGCGTTGGTTTACTAAACACCAGCCATGTGCCCAAAGCTGTCCACCTAGATATTGGAAGCAGAGCAACTTCTGCCCAGATGAATTTTTTCCAAATTCCAGCTCCATTGCACATCTAAGCCCTCGGAAAAAAACAAGAGTGAATTTGTTATACATTAGCTCACACTGGGAGTCAGGGGAATGAGGTCCCAGAGAATATAAGTGGTCCCGTAGTACTGGGGCCCTGGATTGTTTTGTCAGCAAAATGTGGAGGGTGGGCCTCACTGAGGGATTTCTAAAACCCCTTTGGAGCTCTGGCCCCCTGTGTTCCCCATGGCTCACCTGCGCTCCACAGATGTCTGCTGCCACCCACCTCTACGGGGAATCGGAGCCCAGGAAGGGAAGGGGTGGCCTTGCTCAGACCAGGAGGCAGGTGGGGACCATCTTTCAGAGGCATATGCTGCATTTGGTGGACATGCCCTGCACAGCGACTCCCCTGTCCAGGGAGAGAGGAGCTGGGCAGAGGCAGGGGCTGGGGGAGGCACGGCTTCCAGCTCTAGCAGGGTCAGGGCAGACCCCCGGGGAGGTGGCTGTGCTCCTAGGGCTGATATTACATTGAGGGGACCCCCTACCCACTGATTTAAGCAAAAAGAGCAAGACAGAGGCCCCAGAGACGTGGGGGAGGAGCCGACCAGCCAGACCTCAGGCTGTCCGTCACTGTACTGTGGGAAAGCCAGTAGCCAGTAGCCTGATAAAGGAGGAACACACCCACGGCTTTCTTGCCAAGACCACGCGTAAGCAAAGAACAACTTGCAGACCTTTCTAAGCATCTCCACACTCTGTCCTACTTCCAGGGAGGAGAAAAACACTGGAGCAAATTCAGAAAGTCCAACAGAGTTCTGTGGGGTAACGCCCTCTGTACCCACCCAACAGTGAGCCCCCCAGACTCTCAATGGACCAAGGTAGTTCCGCAGAATGAAAAGTCATTGATGTGGTGGGTGCTATGTGTGGATTGCAGAGAAGGGACCCAGCAGGCTCTCTGGTCCGGCTCCCTCCCTCCCGGCTGGTCTGCAGCTGCATCCTTCACTTGTAGTGTAGCTGCATCCTTCACTTGTAGTAGCCCCTCTGCTCTCCTGGAGTGTCCAGTGAGGGCAGAGAGGCCGAGTGTGCAGTCCAGGCCCCACAGCTTCCCGTCAGGGAGGGCTGTCTTTGCCCAGGAAGCTCTTCCATGTGGGGAACCCCTAGACTACCTGCAGTTGTTTCCACCCACCCCTCTGACTCAGGGCTGATGAGAGCCTGGTGACCTCTGATTCACTCCTCCCCTGCTCTCCACTGACCCTGGAGACCCCCTCCTTGTGTGTGCGGCCTAGTGTAGAAGAATGCTGGGGAGGGGTGGGGCTGCTGGGGGGCTGGAGTGTGACCCCTTACACCTGAAGGCTGCAAAATTAGGGCCACAAGCCCTCAGTGCCCTCTCCCCCAAGGCACCTAGTACGCAGTTTCGCTGTGATGCAACTCTCTGCCAGGCGGGTTCTGTGACCTGGGATCCCTGAGGCAGCCTCTTCTCGCCACGCTGCTGTCCACCCCCCATCACAGACTGGCTGGTGGGCTTCTCTCCCTGCCCCCAGAGGGCTCCTTTCAGGGCCCCCCCCCCCGACCTGGAGGCCACAGCTGGGAGCCTCCAACACCCTCAAGGTGCCTAAGAACAGCCCTCTCTCTGGGAGTCTCCCCCTTCTTTCCAGGTAGTGGGAGGAGTCTTCTGTGGCAGAGGCTTAGACGGGGCGAAGCAGCGAAGGCTGATTTATCTCCCCTCCACACACAGTGCTGTGTGTGCACACACATGTGTGTACACACATCCATGTTGTTCAAGTTGACTAAGAGGCAAAGCGTTGCCTAAGCCAGGGCGCTGGTCCAGGCGAGGGCCCTCCCCCTCCCTCCACCCAAGCTGAAGCAGACACCTCTCCACGCCAGGGCCCACAGCCCGGCTCCTGCCCCACAGAGCCTGCGTGCGCACGCACTCACACATTCCCTAAGAAAGCCCTGGGGGCCTCTGTGGGAAGGCTTTCCGGGATACTTTTATGGCAAAAGAGGAAGTCTGGGGCATCGCTGGTACGGCTGGGGCCAGGGAGCCAGCGACTGCTGCCAACAGTGTAGTCAGCCTGCACCTCCCCGGTGACAGAGCCCTTAACCCTCTTCCTGGTGCCAGGATGCTGGTCGGGCACGACAAGCGGCAGCCCCCAGGCTCTCAGTGCTGCCCCTCACAGCGCCCCCCTCACATGTGCACACACGTCTATGCACACACACAGACACACATGCAACTCACCGGGAGCTGATCAGGGCTGGGTTCAGCCCAAGGAAGCATGGAGCTCAGAGCTGAGAGGAAACCTTGAGGTTTATGAGAAATTATCCTCGCTTTCAAAGAAGAGGCCACTGAGGCTCACACATCCAGTGCCCAAGCTCACCTAGATCCAAGCCCAGAACCCAGGCCTCCAGGGCCTCTCACAGGTCCCAGCAGAGGACGCTGAGAGTAAAGGCACTGGGGGGAGAGGTCGGGGCAAGACGGAGGTGGGGTTGCCTCCCGGGAGTCCAGCCCTTGGTGCCGTTTAGAGCTCTGATGTCCCGATCCGTAGCCAGTAGACACACATGCCGACAAAAGCAAAACTTAATTAAGTTTAATGTAGAGAAATGTAGTTCCCCAGCAGCACTAGCTACAGAGAAGCGCTCAACAACAGCCACGAGTGGCCAGAGGCTACTTTACGGGACAGCCCGGGGCTAGGCCACCTCCACCGTCACATAATGTTGGGTTAGACGGAGCTGGTCAGGAGGAGGCAGCCTGGGGGGTCTGATGGTCTGAAGGGACTGGGGTGCCTGCGAAGGAGGGAGAGGAGGAGAGAGAGGGGTGATGGGGAAGAGCCCCGAGAGAGGGCAGAGAAGAAGGAGAAGCCTGGAAGAGGACAGAACGGGAAGGAAGGGCAGGGAGATCCTGTGGCTTTTCCCCGTGGCCAAGATCTGACCGACCGTTCCCAGTCTGGGGGTGGGGGCCTGGCGCTGTCCCCCACCCTACTCCAGAAGGGCCAGAAACAGAGTCACAGACCCACAGCCACGGGCCGCAGATGCAGCGTCTGATCGTTTTTCCAGACCTCAAGGCCCCAGCCTGTCCCCAAACTGGCGGGCCTTTGTGCCCGGAGCTCTCCTGTCCCCCCAGGGCAGCCCCTCAGTTGAGCACCTGATTCCCCACAGAGGTAGCCCCGCTCCTTCCAACAGGAGGGCACAGCCAACATCAATGACCCTGTGGCCCCTTCACGGCTCACTGAGGCAAAAATGCGTGTTGGAAGGCAGGCAGGCAGGAAGGGAGGAAGGAAGGAAGGGAGGAAGGAAGGAAGGAAGGAAGGGAGGGAGGGAGGGAGGGAGGGAGGAAGCTGAATCTAGTGAAACGAGACTGCTTCTATTGCAGTAGTTGGGTGCATTTTTCAAGCAAAGGGGCAAATGCCTTGGTTCAGTTTCATAGACACAGAATCCGTTTTGCCACTTTCTCCTGCATTCTTCGACGTGAACGTTTGAGAGGCAGCATGGAACTGGGCAAAGAGCATCATGTCTGAAATCAGAACACCTGGGTTTAATTCCGGCTCTGCTACCTAGCGACCTGCCACATCGCTGCTCTCCCCCAGCCAGTTTCCTGACTTAGGGAACCGTTGCGATGACCAAGGGTGCTAGCGGATGCAGATCCAGGGGCGGGGCAGTGTGTGTCAGACCGTCCCCTCCGCCCCGGGGCACTCACTGTGAGCCCAAAGTGGAGAAGGATGGGGACAAGATGCCCCAGAGGAGCTCGGGGCTGAGGACGGAAGAGCGAGCAGCTGCAGTTCTAGGCAGGGCAGGCTCCTCGCCCCCACAGCGCCCAGCAGAGCATGAGGGAGGAAGCAGTGAGGGGAGGGTTGTTATGAAGAGAAGTGTGAGCAGGACTGGAAGGATCAAGAAAATCAGGGGAGGGCATTTGAAACTGAGAAAATACACAGCCAAGCTCCTAAGTGACCTCAGCTCCCACTGGTGCAGCTGACGAGGGCCCTGGGGAGAGAGAGCCCTCAGCCTCAGATGATAAAACTCACCCCCGGGCCCCAGGGTCTTTCCAAGTCACCTGGCCACCCCGTGTCCCTCCGGGTCCCTTTTCCCAGCCAGGTCGCCCATGCCTCTGCAGGGACCCCATGCCTGTGAAGGGCTGACTCGTCACCGCCTGCACCCCTCTCAGGCCTCCCCGTGGTGACGCTCAGGGTCCTCTAAGTCAAGAGGGAGCTGGAGAAAGTGGCCTGCCCCTGACTGAAGAGCCCCCTGCCCCTAGGTCTGGGCATGACCTAGGCAGATCTAGACTGGTCCTTTAGCCCAGTCTGAGCACGTTTAGGACACCTGAGAAATTCCAGCAAAGGGGAAGGAAATCACCTCTTCTCTTCATGACGGATTTCCTTCACACAGACCGCTTTGTCGTGAGGGGCAGGCCAGGTCACAGGCACTGTGAGTCCAGAGGCTTGGAGCAGGACACCAGGGTCCCGTTCCCATGGCTGCTGCCAAGTGGGACTGTAAGCTCGAGCAAGTCACTTCACCTGCCATGAGCTGTGTCCCCACCTGCAAACTGGGGCTGATCGGCTCTGCCCTTTCTGCCTCCTTGTG